TCTATGGCTTGGAACCATTGTCCTGGAAATGTCCCAGCACTTCTCTCTCTGTGTGGCTGGCTGGAAAAGAGGCACCCCAAGGCCTGGCTCCGGTGGTCAGGAAGGCGGGTGGGGATGCCAGCCAGGCCAGGTTCTGGAGCCAGTGCCCTGGGGAACAGCTGTGAGAGGTTCAGGGGGCCAAGTGGGAAGACAGGTCAGGTCATGCCCTCAACAAGTCCTAGAGGGGCCCCTGGGGGCTGGGGGGGCCACAGTAAGGAACACAAGGCACCCCAACTCCTGCCCTCGGGGCACTTCCACTCCATGCCTCCCTAAACCCATTGCCCTCAGAGAGTGACCCTGTGGGACAGAGGGGACTTGTCCCTGTGGGTTTCCGTCCGAGGCTGCCGATGGAGCTTGACGGGAACAGACCTTACAGTTAGCCGCCCACGTCAGCACTACACCACTGGGGCTCCGTTCTCAAAGTGGGGCCTCTGGGAATTTGCTAGAAAGGAGAGTACTTGGGCTGTACCCCAGACCTTCTGAGTCAGCAACGGCCAAAGTGGAGCTCAGCAGGCTGGGGCTCCACAAGGCCCCCCACCCAGGCGACTCTGAGGCAAGTTCAAGTTTGGGAACTCTGTGGGGATAAGGGTAATGCTAATACTAATAGTAACGTCAATCCTTGGAACCAGGAGCTGTCACAAAAGAGGAGTGACTTGCTGGAAAACCAATTTGCTCTGCAAACTTTCACCCCAAAGCATCATGAGGATAAAACCAAAAAACAGCCGAGACCGCGTGAGCGGTGTGGCCACTCGATGAAGGGAAGCTGGGGGCCATGGAGCCCCTGCCTCTGCACAGCTCAGGGGGTGGTGCCCAGCCTCAGTCACAGTCCCCACAGAGCTACAGGGCCTCTGAGAAGGGAGCCCCCACCCCCCACCCCCAGCTCCCTGGCTGAGCAAGCGCTGGTCCTTCCCCAGATCCTGGCCTTCTCCCAGAAGCTGTACTTCGACAACCAGAAGCGGCTAAGGCTGACGGACAACTTCAGGCCCCTGCAGAACCTCCGGGGGCGTCTGGTGCTGAAGTCCCAGGCTGCGGGAGCCCTGCTGCCCTGGGCCCTGCCCTCACTGCTGGCCCCTCTGCTCGCCCTGCTGGCCGGCCTCTTTCCCTGAGGACTCGCTTCTGGACATTTGACTTCTGACCCTGGCTCCTTGAGGGCTGGGGCCTCTGTTCCTGGGACTCCCTGGGATGGACTTGGGGCATGATTAACATATGGATCTATTTTTAGAGAAACCTTGCTCAGGCCTGTTGTTCCCCTGCCCTGTTCCCTTCACACTCCTTCCCAGGGTGGGTCCTTGGGGACAATTCCAGACACCCATCTCGGCCTTGGTGAAGCCCCTTAGTGGGGGAAACCGAGCCCCTCAAAGGAAACTCTCTGGGACCACTCTGGGAGGCTCTGGCGAGGCTCATGGAGACCCCAGCTCAAAGCTTTCTCTGCATGGAGGTGGGGGCTTTGGGGGTGGGGGTGGGGGTGCAGTGGACAGGGCCCTGGGCAGGGGAGTGTCAGGACTTGCCTGTATTTTCTTGAGGCCAGGGAAGGCCTGGGGACATTGGAGCAGACAGGCTGTGAGGCACCTGGAGATGGAGCACCCAGGTGAGGCCAAGTGCCCAGGAGGCCCAGAGAAGGGAGGCAGGGAGGCAGGGCAGGGCACCCTGCTGCCTTGTGGGGCAGGAGCTGGAGGGGAAGGGTGGGGGCCGAGGAGCAGCTGGAGACCACTGCAGTCATCTTGAAAGGGAATTTGCGGGTGGGCAGAACTGGGCCTTGGGGCTGAGCCCGTGGGGCTTGTCAGATGGGGAGCTCAGGTCCCAAAAGGGGGAGAAGGCCCACAAGGGCAGCTAGCTCCTGGGGGTCAGGGACTGCAGGGAAAGGGCTGTCAGATCCAGACAGGAATGTGTAGGAGCCTTGAGAAGTGGGGAGTGGGCAAGGTTACCCTCTCTACCAGGCTCAGCTGTCTTGGGGTGGTGGCATTAGTCTGCTGTCCATTAGAATCGTCCCTCAGTCCTGCCTGCCCTTGCGGGTGGGGGTGGGAGGGGTGCTGGCAGGTGGTGTTGACCTCTAAGCTGCTCCCCCCATACCCTCAGGTCAGTCTGGGGAGAGTGAGTTGTGCTGCCCGATCCCTCCCCCTTCTCTCCCCTTCTGTGACTAGGACCGGGCACACCCCCATGTTCACCAATGACCACACAGCAGTCCCCAGCCCAGGAGGGGGAGGGTATTGGTGTTTCCATGGGAACAGCAGGACTGCGGTGTCAGTGGAACCTGTTCTCCCTTCTTGCCCACAAAGCTGTGAGGGATCTCAGCTGCCCCTCAAGGTCCAGGGCTCTCACAAGGTCAGCTCTGCTTCCCTGCCCACACCTGGCACCCCTGTCCCTCCCCTCAGGCATCACTTGCTGAACGACATGCCCCAGAACCCAGCCAAGGAGCTTAGATGGTGAGTTACTAAACAGAAGGCCCTGGACATTCCCCTTTCCCCACCCCACCCCCGCCCCCCCAGCATCGTCCCTGACCTTTGACCCCACAATCATAGACCTGGCTAGTGGGGGCTGGAATGGGCAGTTTGTCCACCAGATGAGGGCTCAGGCCGCCCCGCCTCCCCACCCTGCCCGTCCTCCTGCTGGAGGTGGGAGCAGGTGTTGCCAGCACAGGTTCTCAGCGGGGCCACTGCTGGCTGGCCAGCCAGCCAGGGCCCAGCCCTGCTCCAGTCCCTCCCTGGTGTGGGCAGCGCCCCCAGAACCACACCCCTCACCACTGGTGCAAGGCCCTTCTAGTTAATCCCCACCCTCCATGATGCCCCCGTGGTCCCACTCAGGAGACAGTGGCTCTACGTGCCTGGTGCCAGCCTGGCTCTGAGGGAGGTCAGGGTGCCGGCCAGGGCTGGGCTCTTTGCTGTTCTTCACGGTTGGGCTACGTGCCTTTAAGATGGTTCCGATTCATAGTGACCCAGGCACAGCGGAACAGACCTCTGCCCAGTCCTGCCCGGTCCTGCCCGTCGCTGCTGTGCCTGAGCCCATTTGTCCATCGCATGAAGCGCCCTCTTCTTTCTCTCTGCCCCTCACTGTACCAAGCACGGTGTCCTCCTCCGGGGACTGGCCGCTCCTGACAGCGTGTCCGCAGTCCGCGAGGCAAAGCCTGGCCACGCTTGCTTCTAAGAACTAGCCGCTGCCCTTCTCCCCAGACAGGAGTGCTCGGTCTTCACAGCTGACAGCCGCTCCTCCTCCGGTGTCTCAGGCACCGCTCCTTCGGTCTCCTCGCCCAAGGTTGCGCTTTTGCGGGCAGACAGGGTCATGGGAGCGGCCCTGGCTTCTCTGAGGTGCACCGGCGTCCTCAAGTGACCATCTTTGCTTTTGAGCTTTTCAATTTTTTTAAACAGTTTTAAAAAAACCCAACAAAATAAACAGCTTTATTGGCACTTCATCCACATGTCATACGATTTACTACTTACTACATGCATGTCGAGAAGGGTTGGACCATCATCACCACAATCAATTCTAGAACATGTTCCTCTTCCTTGTGGCTTTTGAACTCTTGAAAGAGGTCGGGCGAGGCGGTGGCCCAGGGCCCAGTGGCTGGACTCGCCGGCTGCGGCTGGGTGTGGAGCCACGTAGAGGGCACGCGCAAAGCTTCCCCTTTCTCTCTGGCCGTCAGGATGGCCCCATTGTGAGGATTGTGGTTCTTTGTGGCGAGATGCCAATCACAATCCGCCGGGAGGCGGTCATCTTCGACCCTCATCAGAAAGAGCTTCCAGCGCTTCACCGTCAGGAAGCCAGGCCGTGTCCCTGCATACTGCAGACGGTTAACCAGTCTCCCTCGAAGCTGAGGCTGCGTTTCTCTTTAGGGTGTCCAGAACGATGATGGGATACAACCCTGACACACCTCTTCCCTGAGTTTAAACCATGCGCGATTTCCTTGTTCCGGTTCAACGTGACTGGGTACAGGTTCAGCATGGGCTCCGATAAATGCTCTGGAATTCCCTGGAGCTCTGGAGTTCTGCTTCTGCACTGACCTCAAACCAAACTCACGGCCACTGCATCAGTCTGGTTCATAGGGACCCTATGGGCAGGGCCGAAGTGCCCCGGTGGGTTTCTAAGGCTGTACGTCTTTATGGGGACAGGAAGCCTCATCTTCCTCCCTCGGAGCAGCTGGTGGGTTCAAACTGCTGGCCTTGTGGTGAGCAGCCTACTGCGAAACCAGGGTGCCACCAGGGCTCCTACAGTCCCCGCTGCAACCCTATAAACCAGTTGTTAAAGACTTGGTTCCAACTGCTATGGACTGAATTGTATCCCCTAAACACGTGTGCTGTAAATCCTATGCCTGTGGGCATCATGCCATTTGAAGATTTCTCTCTCTCTGTAGTTGCTATGTTAAGAGACCCTAAAAATAAGTAACTTAATAAATTTAAATTAAAAAAAAGAGGCCCGTGCAACATAGGTTGTGTTTAAAGCCAAACACCTTTGAGATGGAAACAGCAGCAGGTTAGGCACAGAGAAGCGAGCCCACGTGTGGGAAGGGAGCTGCTGCCACGTGGAGATCACCGAGGAGCCAAGGAACAAAGCCGGAAGAGACAGGGACCTTCGCCAGGGCCCACACAGAGAGGAAGCCTCTCCAGAGGGCCAGCACCCTGAATTGGAGCTCCTAGCCTTCCACACTAGGCGAAAGTACAGCCACAGTGTCAAAGCCCCCACTTCCGGCATGTCAGCGAGGGCGGCACTAGAAAACAGAGGTACCAGCTCGGAGCAACCCCAAGTGTCTGAGGGGAACTGTGCTCCGCGAGCTTTTCAGAGCGGGGTTTTCAGCAGTAGATCACCAGACCCTTCCTCCACGTGCCTTAGAGAGGACTCAAACTTCCACCCTTGCCGTTACCAGCCCAGCACATGACTCATGTGCACGGCTCAGGGGTCTCCCAGGAAGCGTTCTTTGCTCCGTGTACAGCTGAGGAAGCTAAGGCGGAGAGAGGTTACCTTGATCAGACCGTGGGTCCTCACCTTCTCAACCACCGC